GGAGAACCGCGGCTCCGGGGCGCCGACAAAGCAGCCGCACGGGGCAAAGCAGCGGCGCTGGCTGGCGCTGGCCGAAACAGCCGCGCTGGCCACAACAGCTGCGCTGGCGACCGTGGCACACCTCTGCCCGGGAATTTCCTAGTCTGTGGGCAATAAAAACGCGGCGTCCACTCACCCTCTGCGCTTTCACTGGGAGCTGCAATCCTGAGCTGTTCCTAAACGGCCATCTTGGATCCAACCAAAAATGACATTCTGACATTTTTTTTTTCTGAAAAATATTACATGTTTTATTATCCTGTCCCCAGAGGGTGGTTTATCCAGAAACCGAGGAAAAAAAACAGTCATCAGAAAAAACTCAAAAAAAAAAAAAAAAAAGGTAGGGGGAGCAAAACCATCAACCACCAGGCAGCCACGCCAGCAGCCTACCTCCACCTCCGGAGGGTCCCCAGAGCCCCATGCCCAATGCAGACCCAGAGGAGCATCAGGGAGGGGATAGGCTGTGTCTTCATTGCGAGAGCAGGAGAGACAGCAGAGATATGTTGCTAGGTGAATATATATTTATATAATAAATCCGTAAGTTAATAAAGTAAATAGTAATTCTCTGAAATTTTTTTTAGTTTTATGGCTTTGTGGGGGTTTTTTTTGGTTTTTGTTGTTTTTTTTTTTTTTTTTTTTTTTTTTTTTTTTGGTCCTTAGAAAATCGGAGACATGTGAGGCCAGACAAAGCAAGGCTGGGCCTGGTGGGATTCGGAGGGGCCCCGTCTGCTAATCCAGCTCCTCTGCTGTGAAAGCAGGGAGCTGGGTGGGGCCCCCATCTCCTGGCAATGGCAAGTGAGTATGGAGCAGGGAGTGGAGAGGGGCTGGGTGGGGACCCAGCTGTTGGGTGGTGGTGGCGCCCTCTGCTGGCCCCAAGCAGTTCCTGGACAAGGCACATGGGGCTTTGAACTGGATGGGGGAGGCCTTGAAGGGACCTCAGGGGCAAAGAAAGAGACCCAGGTGTGGTGGGGCATTCTTGCACTGCATGGATCTCCTTGAAACATGTGGGGGAGCATCTCCTTCATAGCTCCTTTGGGCCTCCCTTTTTGAAAGTGATTTAGGGACGATCTTAATCACATCAGCTGTGTCATCAAGGAATGGACAGTAGCTCAGATAAAGGCCACTGTGAAACGCAAGGTATATGAAGACTCTGGCATCCCCCTTCCAGCTGAGTCACCCAAGAAAGGGCCCAAGAAGGTGGCATCTGGTGTCTTGTCACCTCCAGCTGCTCCTCCTCCCAGCAGCTCCAGTGTCCCTGAGGCCAGGGGTCCCCCCCATAAAGAAACAGAAGGCTGATGTGACACTCAGTGCTCTGAACGACTCCGACGCCAACAGTGACCTGGTGGATATTGAAGGGCTAGGAGAGGCTCCTCCAGCTAAGAAACTCAACTTCGACCAGGCCTGACCCTGGATTCTGGCCTTCTCATAACTTCTGCTGATCCTCCTCTCCTCTCCTGCTGAGGCTTCCACCTCTGACCCCTCTCTCTGTTCATGCCAGACCTGTGGATCGCCTGGGACTCTGAGCAAGGCCTGTACGAGAGAGGGCTGAAAGGCTGCTGGGGCTGCCACCTCGCTGTTCCCACATAAGCATCTGCTCCCAACCCCTTTAACCTTCATCTGATGGACATTTTTTATACAGAAAATAATAAAGATTTCCCTCTCAGGAAAAAAAAAAAAAAATTTACTTTTTTTTTTTTTTTTTTTAGTATTGTTAACTTTCTTTACACGAGTCAATCATTTCTACTACCAAAGATTTAGAAACTATGGATGAACAAAATGAGTCTCCTTATATTGTTCATTTTGAGCCTACATAGACATAGAGAGCAAATATGTCAAAACCGTATTCAAATAAACTCTTTTTAGAGTGAATATCCAGAGCTGGGACAGATTCAGCAGACCTTCTATATCCCTTAATTCTGTCCAGTGAAAATCAGTGACCCTGAGGCACTGCCAGGTTCTAAAGTGCCTTTGGGATCATCAGAGACAGGTTATAAATAATGGAAAATCTTGATCTGGATGTCAGTATATCAAATCTATCAAATCCATTGACAGATCAGTGGTGCTATACTGGAAATGGCTACTCCTTTGGATGAAAGACCTCATTTCCCAGTTGCTTGGAACAAAATAGAATTTACATATTGCTGTAAGAAGGGAGAGACAGTAGTTGTTGGTAGAAACATAGAGAAGGATGCCCAAGAATAATTCTGTCTGGATTAAAGATCCCAGGGGAGTGACAGGGTGCCATTTCTGTACCGAGGTGAATATAATTTGCATGTTGAGTGCGGTAACTAAGAACAAAGAACTCTTGACTCCACAAATTAAACCATCCTGTTTTCTGTTTGCCTGTGGGGAAAAAAAAAATGCCAATCAGTGGCATTTTTTTTTTTAATTTAGAAAGTTTATTTTGCCAAGGTTGGGGACACACCTGTGACACTGCCTCAGGAAGTCCTGACGACATGTGGCCAAGGTGGTCGGGGCATAGTTTGGTTTTATACATTTTAGGGAGACATAAGGCATCAATCAATATATGGAAGAAGTACATTGGTTCAGTCTGGAAAGGCCGGACAACTTGAAGTGATGATAAGAAGACTGGAAGCCAGGAAGGGAGCTTCTAGGTCACTTTCTGCTGCAAGCTCTGGTAGCGCTGGGTGAGTTCTGTGAGGTTCCTCTCCAGCTCCGAGGCCTTGGCTCTCAACTCTTCTGCAAACTTTGTCCTGGCTCCTTCCTTCAGGTGCTTCCATTCTTTTGAGAAAGCGGCCAAGTCAAAACCAAGGGAGAAGGCGGCCATCGTACCTCCCAGCATGCGAGCACTTTTGGTCATTGCCAACGTTGTCCCTGCAAAGGCCTTTTGCGCCTGTGCGGTGGTCCGGGAGGAGACTCTGCCAGTGGTCAGAAGACACTTGGTGGCATTGGCCAAGTGTGGGTTGGCTCTGACTTTCTGAAATGCACGGACGTTTTGTCTGGCGTTCCTCACGGTGTTGATAACGTTAGTGATAATCTTTACAGTGGCCCCGACATAGTCTGCCTCCTCTTCCTCAGCTTCCCTGTCCTGTACCAGGACAGAGACACCACCATCTGGGGAAAAGCTGCTCCGGCCGAAGAGGAAAAGACAGGAAAAGTGAAGTACTGGCGGCTGGCCAAGTATTTCTTCAATAAAGAAGGAGATTTTAACAATCTAACAGCTGCTGCATTTCACAAGAAGTCTCATCTCTTGGTCACTGGCTTTGCTTCTGGAATCTTCCATCTTCATGAGCTGCTGGAATTCAACCTCATCCACTCGCTGAGCATCTCAGATCAAAGCATCGCCTCAGTGGCCATCAACAGCTCTGGGGACTGGATCGCCTTTGGCTGTTCACGTCTGGGCCAGCTGCTGGTGTGGGAGTGGCAGAGCGAGTCCTACGTGCTCAAGCAGCAGGGCCACTTCAACAGCATGGTGGCCCTGGCCTACTCGCCTGATGGACAGTACATCGTGACCGGCGGGGACGACAGCAAGGTCAAAGTGTGGAACACCCTCAGTGGCTTCTGCTTTGTCACTTTCATGGAGCACTCCAGCGGGGTGACTGGTGTGACCTTTACTGCCACCGGCTATGTCGTGGTGACCTCATCCATGGACGGGACCGTGCGAGCCTTTGACCTTCACAGGTACCGAAACTTCCGCACCTTCACCTCCCCACGCCCCACCCAGTTCTCCTGTGTGGCGGTGGATGCGAGTGGGGAGATCGTCTCTGCGGGGGCGCAAGACTTGTTTGAGATCTTTGTGTGGTCCATGCAGACAGGCAGGCTCCTTGATGTTTTGTCCGGACACGAGGGGCCCATCAGTGGTCTGTGTTTTAACCCAATGAAGTCCATCCTGGCCAGTGCCTCCTGGGACAAGACGGTGCGGCTGTGGGACATGTTTGACAGCTGGAGGACCAAGGAGACACTGGCCCTGACCTCTGACACCTTGGCTGTGACCTTTCTCCCTGATGGTGCGGAGCTGGCTGTGGCCATGCTGAACTCACAGATCACCTTCTGGGACCCCGAGAATGCAGTGCAGACGGGCTCCATCGAGGGCAGGCACGACCTGAAGATGGGCAGGATGGAGCTGGACAAGATTACAGCCAAGCACTCAGCCAAGGGGAAAGCCTTCAGCATCCTGTGCTACTCCGCAGACGGTCAGAGCATCCTCGCGGGAGGCATGTACAAGTTTGTGTGCATCTACCACGTCTGCGAGCAGATTCTCATGAAGAGGTTCGAGATCTCTTGTAACCTGTCTCTGCACGCCATGGAGGAATTTTTGAACTGAAGAAAAATGACAGAGTTTGGCAACCTGGCACTAATTGATCAAGATGCTGGGCAGGAGGATGGAGTGGCGATACCACTGCCAAGCGTCAAGAAAGGTGACATGAGTTCTCAGCACTTCAAACCTGAGATCAGGGTGACCTCAGTTCACTTCTCTCCCACTGGGCGCTGCTGGGCGGCCGCCACCACGGAGGGGCTCCTCATCTACTCCCTGGACACGCGCGTGCTCTTCGACCCATTCGAGCTGGACACCAGCGTCACCCCCAGGCGGGTGCGAGAGGCGCTGCGCTGGCAGGACTTCACCCAGGCCATCCTCATGGCCCTCCGGCTCAACGAGAGCAAGCTGGTGCAGGAGGCCCTGGAGGCGGTGCCTAGGGACGAGATTGAAGTGGTCAGCTCCTCCCTTCCTGAATTATATGTGGAGAAAGTGCTTGAGTTCTTAGCTTCCTCCTTTGAAGTGTCTCGCCACGTGGAATTCTACCTCCTCTGGACTCAGAAACTGCTCATGTTGCATGGACAGAAGCTGAAGTCCAGAGCCGGGACCCTGCTGCCTGTGATTCAGTTCCTCCAGAAGAGGATCCAGCGGCACCTGGACGACCTGTCAAAACTCTGTGGCTGGAACCGCTATAACATGCAGTACGCACTAGCAGTTTCCCAGCATCGTGGCACAAAACGCCCCCTGGAGCCGCTGGGAAGTGAGGAGGAGGAGGCAGAAGCACCTGAAGAGGACAGCTTGCACCTGCTCAGAGGAGCAGGCAGAGACTCGAAAGAAGAGATGCTGGCCTAGAGCCGGCCGGCTGCAGCGCAGATTGTGCCGGCTAAGACCTGCCAGGGACATGGGACCATCATGCCACCTGGGCCAGCAAAGAGGAGCGGTCCAGAGAGCAGCTGAAATACTGTCACTGGTGGTAGGGACTTGCTTTTCTGCAAAGGAAACATGAAGCTCATCAGGACAGCGAGCTGACGGGCCATACCAGGGGCCGGCACGCACTGGCACCGGCACCAGGAGCGGGGCTGTGTAAACAGTGAGGAATTCTGAAAATGCCTCTCAGAAAGGTCAATAGCTTCACGTGAACTTTGTATGAGACTTATTTATATCTCTAATATAAAGGTTTGATATAGGACTTAGAGATAAAAAAGATGGAGTTTTCTAACATGTGAGGATTAAGTCTACACTTCAAATTAAAAAGGCTTATGTTGAAAAAAAGAAAAAAAAACTTGGAGGCAGGAAGTACCGTAAACAATTCCGGAGGATCGGAATGAGCAGGTCTCGTGATTGGTGCTCAGGGCGTCACTGGATTATCTCCTGTTGAGAGCAAGAGATTCATTTTGACATAGAGTGAATGCATCTTTCCCTCCCCCTCTCCCTGCTACCATTATATTTTGGGGTTATGTTTTGCTTCTTGAAGCTGGAAATGCCAGTTCTCTAATTTGGTTTTCTTCTTTGGGAAACCAGACATACAAATGAGTATCAATTAGGTTTTTTTTTTTTTTTGAACCCAAATAATAAAACTTTTAATAAATGCCACAACTATACTGTTACCTGTATTTGTACCTTTCACAAGGGTCTAGGTTCAAAATAAGCTCAAAACACAGCACTCACCACTTCAACAGCAGATCAAAGTCAAATGGAAAACTTGTGGCATATTCTTTGGAGGATGTACTAGGACCCGAGAAACAACATGTTCCTGGTTGATACGTCCACAAAAAAGTTAAACGTAAGATTTTATGGACAAAATTTACAAATTTAAATGATGAATATGTTAATGGTTTTCAGAGTAGTACCTATATTTGATGTACAAGGTTCATGCGTGTGTACTTTTAATTCCTTAGAGAGCAAGGTGTAAGTCACCATTCTCCTCTAATTTTTGAAATAATCTTAAACTGCGCAATCCAGATTCTCGCTCTCCATTTTTCCACAAAATAATGAGATGATCAGCAGAGCATGTCACCAGTCCATGATGTTCAAAGTATAGAAACACCTCCACAGATGATGAGTGTCCAATCAAATCTCCAGTAAGCTCCAGTGAACATGAAATAGCATTTTCTTGCTGCTTTTTAACAGGTTGGCTGGCTTGTTTGTTGACTCTTCCAAATCCCCCATGTTTAAAAAACCTGTTGGTACAGGCTCAGCTGCAAGCTGCTGTTTTTCTCGTAACTCCCAAATACGTACACTGCCATCTTCTGAGCATGAGAACAACTGCCTGTTTGGAAGTTTGGCAATGTGCAGGACATTGGAGTCATGTGCAGTTTTCTGGCAGGCAATCACACGCTTCATTTGAAGGTTATACATGTATAAACCCCTTCCAACTGCAGCAAATACATTCTCTTCATCACATGTGAAATGATGAATAGAAATGTCATTTGATTTCTGACAGAGTTTTATTTCCTGTTGGGTGTCCAGTTGTGGAGATGGGTCCCAGAAGTTGCGTTCGTAGGCCTGCACGGTCCAGTCCAGGGCGTCCCAGATGATCAGCTCTCCAATGTGGGAGCCAGTGACAAAACTCAAATCATTGACATTAATCAATGAGAGAATATTGTCCTGGTGATCAAGGAGGCGCTCAACTTCAAGAATATCCCATTCTAGTGATCCTTCTGTGGGTGCTACCAACCTAAAAATTATCAGTTCTTTGCCAACTGCTGCCACAACACAGTTCTTAGGTATTTCAACCAAAGCACTAATACCTGTATCAGAAAGGTGGCTAGTCTTACACAGGAGATCTAATTTTCGGTTCCACACACACACACACACAGGTCATTCCCACCAGAAAGCCAAACATCTACTCTCTGAAGAACAGTCAAACACTTTACAGTAGACTGGAAGCAAGATATTCTCTGAACTTGTCTGCCGTTATCACTGTCCCACACAATAACTGTTCTATCAGCAGAGGCTGTCAAGATGAGTTGTTTTTCTTCACAAGATTCCAAGGAAGGAAATGAAATAATAGCTGTTATCTTTTGAGTGTGTCCATTCAGTTCTAGAAGTTTTTCACCTGTCTGGGCATTCCACACAACTATAGTTCCATCATCACCAGCAGATGCAAATCTGTAGCCATCTAACTGTACCAGAAACCGTACAATCTCATGGTGAGCTTTCAGTACAAGCAACTCAGTGTAGGGGCTCTAGGTTTGTTCTTCAACCTATTGTCTGTAAAGGAGATTTCTCGGCCAGTCTCTGCGGTTCTCTGCCTCCCCCCATCAGCCATCGCAACATCCAGGCAGCGCCGGCGTCTCTCTCGGTCTCGCCAGAGTCCGCCCTGGGATCGGCCTCCACCTTCCTCCCCCGCTGCAGCGCAACAGAGACGCTAATACTTCCCGCCCAAGAGTTGCTCAGGGTCCGGAGGAACGCAGACCACAATGGAGGGAGGAGGATATTTGTCCCCAGAGCGCTCCCGTATCCAGCCACCAAAGCTTAGTTTGGGCAGTCGCTTGGGGAGCGGAGGCCTAAGGCGAAGGCGGCTCCGGCGATTCCGGGGCGCGCGCTGCTCCTAGTGAGCACGCGCGGGGGCGGTTTGTTCTTCGCCTATTGTCTGTAAAGGAGATTTCTCGGCCAATCCCTGCGGTTCTCGGCCTCCCCCGAGATCGAGGGAGGGGGACAGTACTGATCGCGACGCGCAGTCCCGAGGAGATCCGAGGTGGTGGTCTCCTCAAGTACTGCCACCTCCTGGTGCGGGGCTTTCGGCCCGGCCCAGCACCGACGTGCGCGCCCTGCAAAGCTACATGTGCTCCCGCTTCTTCATCGACTTTCCGGACCTGGTGGAGCAGCGGCGCACCCTGGAGCGCTACCTGGAGGCCCACTTCGGTGGAGCTGATGCCGCCCGCCGCTACTCCTGTCTGGTGACACTACACCGGGTGGTCAACGAGAGTACCGTGTGCCTCATGAACCATGAGCGCAGCCAGACGCTGGGCCTCATTGCTGCACTGGCGCTGCAGGCACTGGCTGAGCAGGGCCCCGCTGCCACTGCCGCCCTGGCCTGGCGCCTGCCAGGCACCGACAGGCTCGTGCCAGCCACTGTCAATTACTACGTGACCCCTGTGCAGCCTCTCCTGGCTCGTGCCTATCCCACCTGGCTGCCTTGTAACTGACTCAGACCCTGGCCAGAAGGGAAGGACTAGGTCTCACGGGGTGGGGTGGGGCCTCCAAGAGTGTGTGGAGGACATGACCAGGGACAGGCAGCCTGTGCCAGGTGACCCAGCACTGCAGGGTTGGGCCTTCTATTGAACAAACTAGACTTCCCCGAGCACGAGGCCGCTGTGGGCTTAAGGCTAGGCTGGGGTTCTCAGCTGGAGGACACTTTGGTTATTGCATCACACTTTTGGACCCAGCATGACAGTGGGGTGCAGGAGCCATTTGTCTTGGAGGTCAATTGCCTTCAGGAGACAAAGCAAGTTTGGGGTGGTAGCCTTAATCCCCAGCACCTCAGATTGATTCCCATGGCCCACAAGGGTCTTTTTGACTAGGGCCGGCCTGTGGTGATCCCGGCAGCTTTGGAGGGCCTGCAGCCCACACACTGACTGATATATGGTATGTTATAGGGACTTGTCTCTTTGGGTTAGGCTGGGCCACCACCGGGCCTGATGGTCCAACTTGGGTAATCACTAGGGGGAGGGAAACTGAGACATGAGGCAGCTACCTGGGTTTGGGGAGAGCTGGGTTTAGCCTGTTTCTCTGAAATAGATACCCTAAGCTGTGAAGCCTTCCTCTTGAAGGGTTGAGGTGGCAGTGCACAGGAGCCAAGCAGCCCAGGGTGGGTCACAGCCCAGGCCCTTCTAGGGAGTCACTCCTTTCCCCCTTGCATTGCAAGAAGCCCTCCTGCCTGGGAGCTTGTTCTTTGGAGGGTGCTGAGCCTAAATTTGCCACAGTCAAGTCAACATTCCTGCCCCACTGGCTTGGTTACAGGGCTCTCACGTGGGGGAGGGGAGCCCTGTAACTGCCTTGCGGTTTTGTTTGGATTTGTTCCTATTTTGCACTCCTAACACCTGCCAATAAAGACTGTCTACACTGAAAAAAAAAAATAAATAAAAAAAGACTGTCTACACTGAAAAAAAAAAAAAAAAAAAAAAAAAAACACAAACACAGGCTATAGCCTCTGCTTTGTGATGCTGTAGCCAGGACCCTGCAGACCTCAGTTCTGCTTTGCCAGCTGGCTTCCTACTAGACTCTGCCAGTATGGGGAGGGAGCCACTATAGGGAAACTGGAAGGCTGCTGTAATAAAATACCATAAACTAGATAACTTACGAACAAACAACAGACATTTATTTTTCATAATTCTGGAGGCTGAGAAGTCCATGATCAAGGCATCAGCAGATTCATTGTCTGTGTAGGGCCTGCCTTCTGGTTCGCAGATGTCAACTTCTCACTGTGTTTCACATGACAGAAGGAACGCAGCAGCTCTCTGGGGCTTCTTTTATAAAAGGGCATTAATGCCATGCATAAGGGCTCTGCCCTGATGACTGAATCATCTCCCAATGGCCCCACCTCCTAATACCATCACGTTGGTGAGGAAGTTTCAATAAGTAACTCTTGAGGGGAAACAGACATTCCAACCGTAGCAGCAATCCTTTATGTTAAATTCTCTTTGCTCAAACAACTGGAACAGGTGTTGTCTCCTGATTGGACCCCAACCAATTTAAACCATTTCACTAACATCATCATAAAATATTGGGACACAAAAAGTGCTATTTGGTTCCTTTCAATGATACTGTAGTACATAATGGGAAAAAGGCATTCTGTATCTCATCTCATGGTAAATGATGCAACTGTATTCTGTAGATGAAATGGTACCTGACTGAACAGATGGTAGTGTTCAGCTGTGTACATATAATGTGGTGCTGCATTATGTGCATGGCAGACCTGGCCTGGATATGCCCAGGGGACACAACAGTGCCTACCGGATGTGGTGATAACCAGTGCAGGAGCACACACAACAAAATGGGATCAAAACCATTAATGATGGTGAATTCTCTTCTTCTACTCTGACTTTCTTGGTGAAAAGTAACCAGATTTCTTAGTGAGCTCATGTAAGACAGCCTTTGAGAACACCTAGAAACACAGGGGACAGGTTTGTGGATAGTTAAGAAACAGTATTAGCAAGTAACAGAAAGATCCATTGAAATCAGGATTACCCTAGTTAGCTATAGGTATGTTTTAAATTTTAGTATTAACAACCATAACCTTTAAAATAGAAGATATTAAATA